AAGATTAGATCAAAATCTGATTGAAACTTGACTGGTCCTGTGCATTCGAGTGCAAATGAACTATTCAGAAACTGTAGCATATGTGCACAGACTCCCAGTATTATGCAATATCAATGATGTGTGTCCAAAACTTTTGTCTTGAAGCCTTGTTCGTGAATACCACAATGAGTATGGAAACCTTTAACCTATAATTAATCGATCACAATTCTCATACAGTTTCTTGTATTCAGGTGTGGTCGGCACATCAAAATGCGTGGATTCGGATGCAGACTGTTACGGATGGGTGGCCCAGAACCATACGTGGTGCTATGAGGAGGACACCTTTACGGCGAGTCTCTGCGACAAGAGTTGTCAGAAATGTGGTGCACCCGTTCGCAAAGGTTTAGTTTTAAGCTATTTCTATAACAATTCATGCAAACTTCACTCCCAATCAAATGATCTGTCAACAATTTCAACAACCTGTTGCAATTTGAATTCGCTTAAAGACTGAAAGTAAGGAAAAGTTGATGCCGAGAACAATTGTGGGATTATTAATGATGATAAGATATCATTTTCACTATTCAAAAATTATTGTTATAGTCGGTACATCAGTATAATTCTTGCAACGTATGGTATTAATGTTAGTTGATATCATTTTGTCAATTTATAGAATTCGATTTGAGACGAGTGCCGCATAATTTGCAACCGATCGCATTTTTAATCGGTAAATGGCGTTCTGAATTTGGCGGTAAGGCATTCTTTCCAACTATTCCCAGGTTTACGTACGGCGAAGAGATTGTTTTCAGTATTTGCGATCCGCATTTGAGTGGTGAACCATCACTCTATTATAAGTTAGTGTGTTATTTCCCAATGTTGATGACTTATTTTCTGGTGAATGCTGTTGATTCCTCGAAATTTTATTTGAATCGATTTTCATGAAATAAGCGGCAGTTTGATGGACAGGGACAGGAAATAATGTTTGCAACCGTCGTTATGACTGGGACAATCGAAAAATGAAACTATGATTAATTTTATTTCTGTACAATGAAACAAAGAGCAGCATGGTCTGATGATGGATAAATCTCAGATATCATTTTAACTCAGCAAAAGTTGACGTTCAGATGAAAATGTACTTACAAAACTACGCATTCCAGTGCTACTGCATGGGCTAACAATAATAATGATGAGCTACATAGCGAGTATGGCTTCATAACGGTTGAAAACGGCACACGAAATGTTTCGATGAATACAATTATGAGCAATGGTCAGTATAGTCGTTCCATTTATCGTGAACCAATTCATTTTGTTTTCACTATCAGTTCAACATTCTCCCTATCATAGCATGCGGATCTATTCATTTCGGTGGATGTAGACTATATCAAAATAATTTGAATAGTGTTTCAGAATTTAATTTGAAATATGTGATAAATTTTGAACGGCACTGAATGATAGACTAACTAAATCAGTGATTAGCACGGAGGAGACTCTCTCCCCTCAAATAGAGTTTGAGTATCTCAAGAAGGAAATGTAGGTCTTGGTAAACCGTGGTTGACTGATTCCTCTTCACTTCATTTTAGATGTTCAAAAATTTTTCTCAATATGCGTACTTATTCAAGAAATCAATTCCATTCGTAACATCGATGATCTTAAAATAACACGTCAGCTGATCAGTTTTTGATTTCATCCTGATCTACCACGAAGATGAATCAAATAATCAGCGGAGGGAGAAATCGCGTCCATGTAGACTGTTACAAGAGAACTATGCAATTGACAGTCTTATTCACCGATTTTCTTCATTCACACACTACTCGAACCCATGCTAACCCACCAAAAGATGTCATTCAAATTGAAATGAACCGAAGCTCCCCTTCACGGTTTCGCAATCATTCCCATCACGAGAAATTACCCATTTGGTAGTATGAAACCATGAGCAAGTTGCATACTCGCTAATTGATACTGCCGATTGATACCGCCGTTATACTGCCGATTTGTTTGCTGATGAGCGTTTTCTTAAAAATCATGATGTTATTTGTTATTTGAGGTTTTGCAACAATTGAACGCGGCTACGAAGAGGATAACGCAGTGACGTTGACAATGCGCCGTATCGGTCGAGTCAGTTTCAGTCGGGATTTACCCGTTAGAACGGTCAGATTTAGTTTATTAACTATTCATTCGTTTATTTTTTGTGTATTCCGTTGCTTCCGCATCACCTGGCCTATTGCTTCCATGAACGTTTTTTGCAGAATTTTGATTCATTCCATTGATTCCTCTTCAAATCAGACAGATATTTCTATTTTTGAGTATTGTTTCGATGGCTTAAATTCTTCGTTCAAAGAAGTTCTATTAACTGAAAAGTAACATAAATAGCGTTCAGTTCTTAAATGCTCGTTTGCTTTCTACGATGGAATGTTTTTGGGATGAATTTTGGCGATTGTGCAGTTATATGACTGAAATTTCAGTTATATAACTTTGATCAGAAGCTTTGAAATTTCAGATGATCAGAAGCTGGACACTACTTGATCCAGGTCATCTTGAAGCACGTCTTTTCATGGGCACAGTAACGCATCATCTCATGGAGCACACGTCTGTTGTTTACGAGAGGATATATCCTTGATTAGAAAGATATTTTATGTATTTATGCTTCTTTTGTATTGAAGTGTTTTTTCGTTATTAATCGATCTTCTGATGGTGAGCGCATGTTGATTCATGTTTAGATAATCGCATATCATCTATCATATTCCATGAATAGCCACTCCAAGTAATAGAAGCCAAGCCCTCTCTTGATTGTAGACCACATGCTTCAGCAGAACACCTCTATCTGACAGCATTCATTTAATCACCTCAGTCATTTCATTGGAAAAGCACGAAAAAATCCTTCAGAGGAAATATCTTACGGATGTAAGACTCCCCATTCAAGAGCGTAGATCTGTAATCAATAAATTCAAGCATTTTTTGAGTTTCTCGCCAGAAAAGACTCGAGGCTTTCATCCATGAAATTAGGAAAAAAATGGTTCATATATTTTTCTACAATGATTGTATCATAGTCTGATTTGCGATTGATGCTGTATGGACATATGTGTTGGACATTGAAGTTTATATTGATATGGGAAACTTTTGTACAAATTGATCACTGTTTCCGAAATGGTAAAGCTGAGAAAGCTGTTGAGTTGATAACAGTAAATAGTGATTCGAAATGATGAAAAGTGGAAAAGTCATTGTACTTCTATCATTACATCGGAATGTAATTCGCAAATCATTCATGAAATAATTTGAAACAATGGCAATTTGACGTATCTAGCACTAGATCCAAAAAGTGTTCAACATGCTGTCTGAATGTATCCGAGTGTGGGAGAAGAGACAATTCAGCAGTTTTTTTGCTCATCAAAAACTGTTGTTTTTATGCACTCAGTTCCGAAGACTTGTTCGCTTTAATGAGAGAATAATTTTTATTGCACATTCTGTTCAGTTTCACATTATATATTTGAATTATTGGTCGCATCCGAAATTGCTGATGGAAAATGTGCTGATGATCAAGATGGAATGAAAGCGGTGATGCCGCAGGCGTAAAACTCTTTAAATTGAGATTTATGGCTGTCATCATCTGAGAAATACCCGAATAGATCTTTGCCTATGAAAAGATAGGCGATGAAATATGGCGAATAAAAAGTATTGAAATTTATTGGTCAGTTAAACCAAAAAAATGATCATAAAAAGAGACATTCAAAGAAGCGAAAAGAAACGTTTTGTATCTCAGCGAATTGTGATCGCATAATCGCTGAGGAAGCAATTATGCACGCAATATCAGTGCTCTAAACGAACACACAAACATCAAACGACCAACAGCACTGCAATTCATTCACATCTGTTGATGAGATTTTACCTCATACATTCTAGTTGTTTCAAAAATTGCAGCGAGACATTCAGATTTTTTTCCATTGAAAAAGAATTCCATTTTTTTTGATGATTCACTCAATTCGCATCTCAAATCAACTTCATAAAAATTTCACGAGCAAGAGGATCGTAAGGAAGATTTGATCGCTGTGTGATCCCTTTCGATTGCAATTCACATCTCGATCGCCTCACTGCAGAGGCCTACTTCAGGATCGATTTTCATGAGGAGCCAAAAAAAGGCTCA